CATGTTTGATACCACTTTTTACAGACCAATACCAAAACAAGTATTCACGCTTTGATGATGTACCGATATCAAGTAGCAATACTTCCAATACTTTTATGATAAAAATATTTTTAAAATAATTTAACGCAAAAATAATACAACGTGAACATTACCATTCTTTCTGAGGAGGACTTACTCAATGTCAGATTTTTTTTTTGCCTGAAGTGGCTGTTATCGGCAACCTCGACTAGTACTCGATACAGTACCTTAAAATTAGGCTGGTATCAGCTCGATACCGATGTGTATCAGTACTCGCCAATCCCTAATAAGGGCAAAGCTTATTATTTCATCTTCGAACACCTGCAACTTTACTGGTTTTTATTTTTTCACTTCTTCCTGCCCCCACCCCCCCCCTCCACCCCCACCCACTCCCTCTACGTAACGAGCTTGGCCCGGCCGACCTTCTGGCCCAGGCGAACATTTGCTTTAAATCAGTCCATAACGCAACGTCTTTCAGCAAAGGCGGTAATTATTTTGCTCTTTGCGCCGAGGCCTCAGCCAGATGGGGAAAACAACATTGATGTGTCACAAAAGACAAGCGAGAGGGGGAGGCGTTATGGACAAAAGGTCAGCGTCTCTTTGTGCTGGGAGGCCACGGCGCGCTTGTCCTCGTGTGCCGTTTATTGATCTCGGCCCAATGACGTCGCCTACAACACCGGCATAAGCACTAAATACCTTGCCTCTACCGCAAGCGGCTTCGTTTGTCACTTGTCTTCCCTCCTTGCTCGGTGATAACAACATTCAACGCACACGAGACGTTTGTACAAGTAGCGTATAATTGTGTAGCGACTGAAATTGTAGTCAAATTCCAAGCAGTGGAAAGGCAGACGAGACGTCCGGCTGTCATTTGATGCTTGCTGAGTTTTATGCAGTATATATAGAATTATTCATCCATCCATTTTCTGATCCACTTATCCTCACACAGGTCGCGGGCGTGCTGGATCCTCTCCCAGCTGTCTTCGGGCAGTAGGCGAGGGACACCCTGAACTGCTTGCCAGCCAATCGCAGGACACACAGAAACAAACAACCATCTGCGCTCACACTCTCACCTAGGGACAATTGAGAGTGTTCAATCAGCCTGCCATGCATGTTTTTGGAATGTGGGAGGAAACCGGAGTACCCAGAGAAAACCCACGCAGGCACGGGAAGAACACGTAAACCACACAGGAAGGCCGGAGCTGGGATCGAACCCACGACCTCTGCACTGTGAGGCCGGCGTGCTAACCAGTTGCTCACCGTGCCCCCATATATGTACATATGCAGTATATATTATTGATTTTTAAAGCAACGTTTTTTTAGTGCCTGGGAATTTAATATTCCAATTAAGAAACAAAAAAAAAAATCATTTTCATTTAACCCTTTCAGGTTACAGCAATTGCTACAGTAGACAGCTTACCATGTTATCAGGTTACAGCAGGGGTGTCAAACCCATTTTTGTCGTGGGCCACATTGTAGTTAGCATTTCCATTGGAGGGCTGTTATGACTGAAACCATCCAAAGAAGTCAAGAATAACTGTTGATTCAACTCTTGTTTAAGTTACTATCATTGGGGGGGGGGGGTGGTGGTGGTAACCAGAAAATGCTTAGAATATCTCTCTTATTTATTACAAATGAGAATTTTAGCATCATGGAAGTTGACATGTTTGATCTGTTTTCGCGGGCCACATAAAATGATGTGGCGGGCCAGATTTGGCCCCCGGGCCTTGAGTTTGACACATTTGGGTTACAGGGTGCACGAAAGGGGTAATATACAGTTGTCTTGTCCACGTTCTAGTTTTGGTATAGCATCAACATATATACTGTAAGTTAGTGCAAGGGTGGGAAATTCATTTTGCAAGGGGCCCCCACATGAACGCTTGGAACTCTTGACAAGGGCCGAGCCAACATGCTCACATTTAATTTGTCCATAGTATTTTGAAAAAGCATCTGGTGTGGTGCTAAAACTACAAAACATGAACACGGACTGAATTAAACTCACAGGTCAAATCACCCGCCACTTACGTAATTGGCTGCTGTACCTAATGAAGCGGCCTTGGGGGTGTTGTGGCCCATCAAAGCTGCTTGCGTCTCCAAGGAATGACATCACATCTTTCACACCGCCACTCGCCCGGCCCTCCAGTCACGTTTGCACGCTGGCAATTAGATTGGGATGTTTTGTAGCCGCCCCTCGTCACCCCCCCCCGGCTAACGGGAGGACACTGATGAAAACTAATGCTCTAATTTGGTTGCCATATTGCCACCTGACTATTAGATTTTTGCCCTTTGTCCCGCTCGCCAGCCACTGTGCTGCTTGGCTAACGCAATTAGCCGCCACCGCTGTGTTATTGCTTCATGTTCGCACCCAGAGGACACTTTTCATAATAAGATGAGGAAGAGGAGGAGGAGGAGGAGGGGGGGAACACGTTCGATTCCGGCGACCCCCTCAAAAATCGCCATTTTTTTTTTTCCTGAAGCAAAAGTACCAATATCGGCTAACTTTTTAAAAAAGTGTTGAGCACAAGGAAAACACACATAAGTAGTCCTTGGACATCGCTGCAAAAGTCAAACACACAAAAAAATCAACTTTTATCGAAATTAATTCTGCGGAATTTAAAGTGAACACTATTACCTTAATTAAAGCAAAATGATTCATGTTTGTCGAAACGTTTCTTCGATCTAGCGGTCACCTGTGTGCTCTTGAAAAGATGATTTTCATGGTGAATTGTGAATGGCGAATGAGTGTATGATGATGGGGACTGTGTTCATTCCGTTTCAGTCAAGCACAAGGGGAAAAAAAAAAAAAGGAGCAACTTTCATCGGCCAGGAATATATATATATAAAATGCAGCCATGCGCAAAGTTAGATGAGACTCTGCGAAAGAGATTCTTGCCCTAAAATAGGACGCGTCTGAATGGATAGACAGTTTTACCTGATACGTGGGTGGATGAACAGTTTGCATTGGATAGTTGTATTATTTCCTAGCATGCTTTTCAATTGCTGTTATTTGATGCTTTTTAAAATTTTAGCTCCATTACAATTTATTCTCTGTATTTATACTTTCATTTAAATTCCAGTATTTATTTTTCACTCCATTTTTTTTGTCTGAATGTAAGCTAATATTGAACTCTCATCCAAGTATGAAACCCTCACATCTTTCTACACTTCTTTTTATTGTATCCTATTTTTTCTTCTTTTTTTAAATTTTTTTTTTTTTTTATTATTAGCAGTCAATACATCTCGAGTAGAAAGTGCAACCCGCCAGATGAGGTCAGCGCACACCGTGCAGCAATCGTTACAAATGGCATCCAGACTGTGTAAACTTTTGTGTTCTTCTCTGCCCGGATGAACACAAAACATCAATAAAGCGCAACAAAAGCTACTTTTTGCTTAAATCTTCCCTTTGTTGGTCCTGAGGGGCTGCAATATCAACACCAGCCTGTGCCAATATCCCCCCCCCCCCACACACACACACACACACGCACACGCACATCTTGTGTGCGCCTTCGGGCAGGTCTCTGTTCAATACGGGATGAATACTTGATGCCGTTGTGCATTATTCAAGCATCATGATAATGTCAGTTAAGATTACTTAAAAAAAAAAAAAAATCATGTCTTTTACAGGACACGCCTCCCCTCTCCCTTGAAATACACCCACAAATCACCAGATGAGGAAAACTTGATGAGGCTCCACTTCAACAAAAGATAAGGAAGCCTGAGAAATAAAGTAGGATGCTTACAAATAAAGCCAATAGACTTTACGTTCTATTTGTGGCATGATTAAATGCCAAAAGTTATTCAAGCCTGACTTGTTTTGGAAATTGGAGCTTAACAGAAACACAAACATATTTAACCAGGATGAATGTGAACTTAAAAGTGATTTTGATAAAACATTCTTGTGATGCGGAAGTTATGATCCACTTCTGTCAAGTCTGCCGAGCAACAAGGAAACAGGAAAATTTGAAATTTGACCACGATAAAAAATAAAACAAAAATCATAATCAGTAATTTTCTTACTCTGTCCTCGTGAGTTACTAAATGTACCAAAATTGTTACGTTTAAATTGAAAAATGTAAAGGTTAAAAATGAAATTAGGTTACGAAGCTGTTATTGGGCAGTTATAATTCAGACCTATGAAATCTGCAATCGATATCTGTCAGAATGTTTGCATGATACTACCTTCCCCTTAGTGGCCATTGTATGCACCCAAGGAGCAGGACGATGTCCAGTGAATTGAAGTAAAAAGTATAACAAAAACAACCTAATTTCGTACATTCTATGTAATTATACATTACTGTTTTTTTAAATATAAAATACAGTCCTAAAACGTGCTATTTTCCGCATTAAAAAAAAAGAATTGAGCACAATATAACGTGTTTCCTGCACATACATACAATCACGTGTGATTTCGCAGAGTCAGTCTTTAGCTTGTATGCACACGGGGATCTTCGTAGTCACGTCCTGTTGTGTACAAACCGACAGTGACGATGATGACGATGATGAAAATGACGACGATGAGGCCTTTACGGCCACATGAGTATCAAAATAAAGATGTTAGCCCGGCCGGGCCTAATGTGCCGCATCCGTCAAAACGTGGCTAATGGTCACATTTCATGCGTGTCCATCCTCAGCCAAGAAGAAGAAAATAAAACACACAGTGCATACATACACAAACACACACACATACATATATAATATATATATATATATACACACACACACACATATACATATACACACACCTACATATATACATGTATATAATTATTCATTCTTCTTTTTATATCAATTGTCTCATATTCATTATAAATACTGCATTTCTTGAATACATTTAATGAGTTGATCAAAATCCAAAACAAGAACAGACCGTTATATTACTATATTTTAAAAGTATATCGAATATATCTTCTCAACTTTGATTTTTGTAGTTTGTTTGTAAAATACTGGAGTACCATGACCTAATTTCTGTATTTATTTATGGACACGTGGAGATTAATGATGGAAAAAGACAGTTAAAATGCAAAACACGCTCGAAGCAAACTTACGCAATGACTGTCTTGTCATATACGTTGTCCATGACATATAATAAGCAATTAAACAGAGACACAACATATTACTATGATGTATTTTCGTGCTTCATTTTCTTCCATTTTGGCCAATTTTTACACACTCGTGATCACAGTATCCACATTTATCCTGCAATCCTTCCATGATTCATTTCTGCAGAGATTGCATGTGAATGCTGAAAAGATGACATGTTCAGAAATGTTAAATGCGAGACTGAATAAAAGGATAATTGCAAAATGTCTCCATGAATTTAACCCTTCCATGCACCCTGTAATGTGATAACGTGATAAACTGTCCACTGTAGCAACTGCTGCACCTGAAAGGGTTAAGGATTTGGTGTATGGAAAATGTGGGAATTTGGAGATTTCAAGTTAGAATGATTTGAGAAATGTGGAAACAGGAGGCCCGATAGTGAAATATGCGCATTCATTTGGGAAGTTTGACAGAGAATATGCAATCCTGAAAAATGGGGGGAATTTGGGAGATGTGATTGTTTAGTTCCCAAAATGTTGTCAACAAGCATTGTGTTTTGAAATCTAAATTGCTTGAATCTGTTGGGAAATGTCGAATGAAGAGGTGTAAAAACGTCTGCATTAATTGGGAAATTGGAATAATTGGAAAACGGGGAACACTGAAAAATCTGGGAAGCTGTGGAATGCGGTATTGGAAAATAGAGTTTCTATGGTGGCATGAAAAGAAGTGAACGCTTTCAAGTAGCAGTGCTTTGAGTCTGTGGAAAGCAGGAGGTCAGCCAGTAAAATGTCTGCATTCATTTGGGAGTGTCGGTAATGTTGAATCGAAAAAAAAATTGAGAATTTGGGGGAAGTTAAAACAGTTTCCAGGATGTTGTGATTGAGTTCAACATATTGAGGTTGGAAGGGCTTGTTTTTTTTGTTTTTTTTGCATTTGAATGGTATGAATCACATGTCAAATATGGAAGGATGACAAATGTGGGTGCCATAATGAAATAAAAGACTTGACAAAATAGAAGAAATGCTCGAATAACGTAAACAAAATGTACATTTTCAAATCATGACAACACCGCAAGCTCAGCTTGGATCTTGCCTTATAAAGTATATGTGACGCTTTTCACATAAAAATACAGTATGTAATAAAAATAAAAAATAAAATTAAATTAAAAAAAGAGAGGTAACCCCGCAAGATGATTGACAGGACGACGTCAGGCTGCCTTTAAAGACGAGCCGAGATGTGTTGGATGGAAATGAGGATGAATTTCCATCTCTGGAAATACATACGCTCCACATCATAAATGCACATTCATATGGAAATCCTGTGTTATTTGCATTTCAGATGAATGCTGAACCGCGAGCGCGCGCGCGCGCACACACACACACACACACACACACACACACACACACACACACGGCACGTAATTTGCAACGAAAGCTGCCTTGGGAAGTGGGCGTGGGGGGGGGGCTGCTCTCGAGTGTCGTTAATAAGCTTGGAAATCTCGACGGGTTTGCGACGCGTGACCTTGCATCTTCTAGCACCCACTCATGACAAAAAAAAAAAATCTGCATTGTATTATATTGTCAAAAGTGTTTTTTATTTGTTTTCCAATGTAAAAACTAAACTGCATGTTGATATGTATTTTATTTGAGTAATATTTGTTATTTTCTTTTTTGTATTTTGAAAAAAATAAACCTTGCTTCAAATATTTTTGGTGTTGATATTGATTAATGTATCTATCATTTTATTTAAAAACATTTTCATGTATCAAATGTTTTATTTTAAAAAAGGCGCTTCACTTCTTTAATTTTTAATCTATTCATGTATTTAATCAAAACAAAATGTTTCCTCATTTCAAAATCTTTACTTTCAGTTTCAATATTTTTCATAACTTATTTTCTCAATTTATTAATAAAAATCTTGATCCTGTAAAAAAATATTTTTCGTTTTGTTTTTATCGTTAATTCTCTATCAATTAAATCATGACATAAAATTCTTTTTTTTAAAATATATGTTCAAGTCATTCTTGTCTATTATTTTACTTTAAGGAATGAAGAAACAAATAGTTTTTAATTGATGGAGTTAATTTAGTGACATGTTTTTAATTTTGTTACATTCATCTTTTGCATTTAATTATTTTATGGTAAAGAAAAACCGTGTTGTATTTGTATCATTTTCAAATGTTATTTTTAAAATCAAATCATTCCATTGAAATTCATTAAACGTTGCTCTTTTTCCAGATTCGTTTGTTTAACTGGCCCCACCCACATCATTTGCATATGCCAGAATCATCCAAAACGTGCAGATGTGACGTTCGGGAACATGTTGACAGAGAAATAAAGCGTCGGTTGGGGTGCAGGGGTTAACCAGTTCCAGGGCTTCACAGGCGCACTTATGACAATTGTTATTTTCCGTGTGAGAAAATAGATAATAGGGTCTAAAAGTAGCCCGCATTTGGTGCTTAATCGCCTCCTTTAAGATGAGCAGCTCTAGTGGGAGGACGTTTTCCGCAGCCGAGAACAAAAAAGCCATCCATGAGGAACCATCGGGGACCTTTCCCACAATGCACTCTGGTGGGGGGTGGGAGTTGTGGGAAGATGTTTGCAGCCTTCTCTGGTCATCTGCTGGTGGCGAGGGTCAAGGCGAATTTTTTTTTTTTTTAAGAGTGCTTTTCTGAGCGGGAATTGAAATGAGCTTCTTCCCACGGGATGGTACCGACAATGGGAATAAGTATGGGAGTGAGGGCTTGCAAGTGGGGGCGCTCCAATTATTTCTTGGTGGGAAAACACTTGAGGAAAGACACAAGATGAAAGGAGATCAAAACGCTGTTTTTTTTTTAATGGAGCGTTATCATCAACACGGAACTCGCAGAGGACAACAGAAGTGTTGTGTAGAGAGCACTCATCACATACAACGGCGGCGCTGACTATTCTTGTTGCTTTGTTCTCATCAAATCTCCTTCGATAGCTTGCTAACTGGATTTGTATTGTAGTTTTTCATGCATACATGTCATTCAATATTATATTATATCCAAATGCTTTATGTGGGGGCAGTACGCAGAGTACCATCGCTTCTCAATTTTACCCTTTAGCTGCAAGCGTACCGGGACTTTTTACGGCATACCGGGACTTCACATGAGCCTACAGTACACTCTCTTTTTATGTTTCTCCTTTCCGCTTTGTGATATAATCACACGACTCCTTCAGCAATTCAGGTACCTAAATTTTTAAAAACGATTAGACGATTTTTTTCCTCCTCTGGTAACAGTTTACTTGGTGTGTGCGCCGTCGTGAAGACACGTCAAGTAAACTGTAAAACACGAAACGTAACACGCTGCTAACGCAAAAGCAAACTTCAAAATAAAAACTTGACCAATAATACACTAGTATTGTAATGCGATAGCCTTGTGTACTTTTATTTTGAAGTCGCCCTGCATGGTGTTGTGAGGTTAGTTGATTTGTCTTATAGACATTTCGGCTTGCCTTACGTCGATTTTTATTGCCGTAACATTATTTTTGTCAACATCACATTGACTTGAATTGAATTAAGTACGCTAAGAAAACACTAATTACGCCGTCATTATATGATATGGAACAAGTCTGTCTTTTCAAGCATGTGCAGACAGTATTCTTTCATTTTTGTTGCGATATAGTAAAAGACGGCAATCGTTATCGCAGTCTTCTACTATTCCTGTGAAAATCAAGTCAAAAATCTGAAAAATAGACAATCTCAGCAGTATGGTTGGTACTCAATTTCTGACTCAGCTGCCCAAAATTACCTGGAAACCATAAACCTTTGTCCACTCCTTTGTTGCAATTGTTAAATTGCCTTGCTGAATGTATAAATGTAATATTTTCTTTGTAGTCCCAGCTCACCGGTAAACGTTTTCAAATAAATAGCTGAACGTAATGGCAGGCGATCCCACACAATTGGCTGGAAGAACTATTCTTAAGTCTTTAAGTCTCAACTTCGGAGATTTCCACCTTGAAAAGCAGAAGCGCCGAGCTCTTGAATATCCCAATTACAATGCATAGAGTCCATTCGGACACACAGCACTGTTGATTATTCTCACTGCTGTTCCGTGCATTTATTGCCTCTTTATTCGGTTAGTATAGTTGTGGTTTATATGTTATGTCCTTATATATAAAATATTCATGTCTGCATAGAATGTTGCTGATGATTATTGTTGTGGTGCACACTCACTTCTGTATATCAAGTATCCATATACTCAAAGTTAGTAGTACTGTACCTGTACTAGTGTTTAGTTCATCGTCAATGGCATTTATGGGGTTGGGCTATTGATTGCAAAATAGAACGCTGCTGATTATTCTTGCTGCTGTTCGTTTTGCTTTGATGCGTATATGCTCTTTACTCAGTTAGCATGGCTATTTATTTGATTGCTAACTGCTTAGCTAGTGAATATTAATTTCTACATCACGTAGAACACTGCTGTCTATTATTGCTGGAGTCCACACTCACTCTTGTGTATAAAGTATCCGTTGACGCAAAATTTGTATTTCTGGTATTAATGTAATTCTTGACTGCATTTATAGGGTTAGATTATTCACGGCTGCACACGCTGCTGACTATTCTCGCCGCTGCACATATTCCCTCCTGCTCCACATAGCATCTGTTTGCAGTACTAAAGCTAACTTCCTGTTTCTTCATATCTTCAAGACAACAAAAGGACAAAAACACCTGAGTGCCACTTGTGGCATCCCACAATGCCTTTCTTCCTCATTCTGTCACCCAATTAGTGAAGCCTCCCAGGAAGCAATGCAGCATTTGTCTCCATTAGCAATGCAGGTTATTGCCGGGGGGTCGGAGAGGGAGGGGTATGGGGGGTTCTTAAAAACTTCTCGGATGCAATTAGGAGGCAAGTGAGGGCGCCGTGTGTCGACCCACCAGCAAGGGAATCCTGGGCGGCGAGAATCCCCCTCGCCTCGCCGCTGACTTCAGCAAACATAATAAATCACCGGCACTCGCCATCGATTAGCACGCCGCCTACGATCGTGCTCCGACCACCGCTAACTTAGTGCGGCAGCGCTTATGCCATTAGCCAGATGCTCCGCTGAGGCAAAGTTGCTTAAAAGTGCGACAAGGTTCTGTGCGCACAAGCAGAAGAATGCACTTTTTTTTTCCCCTTCACAGGAAGTTCAAAGCCTGGAATTTGCTATTGACTCCAATTGCAGTATTCCGTTGAGACTTCATCCAGATGGAGATATAGAAAAACTATTTATTTATCGTTAGGGAATCAAGTCCAACTTTAAATAGCACCACGTTTGGGTTGCAATTATAGAAACCATCGATGCTACGTATACAAAGATATCATCTGGAGCAGCTCATAATCAATATTTATCTATTAGCGTGATAAAACATTGAGAGCAAATACATCATACGCGCCAAAGACGCTGGTTATTAAATGTATTCATGTGTGCGGATCGCTAAGAACGATCTAAAGCTCACTGGTAAGATACTGTAAGGTTAGATTTAAGGAATAGGGTTTCAAACTAGGCCAACTCATTCTCAATTAGGGGTTTAAACCTGGCTTAGGGGTTTAAAGTAAGGCCTCAAATCAGCTTTCCAAATAATGGTTAAGATTTGGGTATTTAAATTGGGGATTCCACAGGGCTTGGTGGTTTAATGTCGAGTTTTAAACCAAAAGTAAGGTTTCCAATAACCTTTAGAGTTTTAACACTTTCAGGTACAACGATTACTACTGTGGACAGTTTATCATGTTATCAGGTTACAGGGTGCATGAAAGGATTAACATCAAACAATAATCGAATGCAATAAAAAAAAGAAAGTGATGATTTTGCCAGCTGTACATTGAACACAGGTGGCCCGAGTCAAGAGCCCTGGGGAACTCCAAACTAGAACAAGTGCTTTGTGATTTGTACTTGTTAAAAAGTGAAGCAGACGCGTGTAATCATTTGCATCTGACAGAAGAAGAAAGTTTTTCTCCACAAACTGCCTGTTGTGTTTTTCAGCTTCTCGTTGTCGACCCCCAAGGAGAAAATTGCGGTTTAACGGCGTCTCCACTTTGAAGCGGAGAATGTTACAAATGAGGACGACGTTAAATTAGCGTTAAAAACCCTGGGTTAGCAGCTTCAAGTATATTTCCAAGACACAATTAAGATTTCAAATTTGGATTAAGACGTGAAACTAGAGTTAGGAGTTTAAATTCAAGCTAGGTTAGGTTTTAAATTACAATGTTTGGTTGAGGGTTTGAAATGAGGGCTTCAAACCTGATTTCCAAACCGGGTTAGGATTTTAGGGTATGGTTTCAAGACAGGGTAGGGTTTCAAATTAGGGCCCAGAGACAATCGTCCGGTTTGTTTTTTCATCTTTTCGCGTTTAGAATGCCCTCTACTGACATTGACTGGACAGAAGCGGTCGAAAGGTCCACTGGGTATTTTTCTTTTTTTTTTGGGTGGGTGACGCAAAAGTTGCAACTATTCGGGCATCCTTCCTTCGCTTCCTTTTTTTTCATCCTTCCTTCCCTTGCCTTGCCTCCTCCCTCCTCAGCCACTCCGCCCTTCCTATCTATGTTGCCAGCCGCGTCACCCCGCACCTGTAATGGAGGAATTAGTCGGCCCTGAAATGAACTTCTTGTCTCCGCTCTGCCTGCACATGGAAAAAAAAAAATATATCAACTGACGCTCTGCGGAGGAGGCGGAGGCTCCAAATCTGTTTTTACTCTTCACTTCCTCCTCTTCCTCTTCAGATTATTCTTGACTGTCGGCGTCCTGTCATTTATTGCTTCAAAGACAACATCTGGATGAGGAAAAGAAGCTTTTGAAAACATCTTTTTTTCCCACAGATGTCTGACGGCGAAAGCGCAAAACATTCAAGTAGTTCTAATATTGCCTGGATCATTTCATAATGACACTCTTAGGCAATTTAATTTTTTTTTTGGGGGGGGGGGTGAAAATTCAGCCAGCAAAGACTGCTTCACTTAGCAACATGACATTTGGGCAGTGTGTATCACAAGTTGATCCACAGAAAAAAAGCCATGCCCAAAATGACAGTCAGCCAGCCATTTTTGGCCCAAGGACATCATTTTAGGAACATTTTGGTCATTCACACGAATTTGAAAATTCATCTTTCAAAGCCAGTTTAACTTAACAACCTGAATGATGGTGGGTATGTCTATCATGAGTAGACCTGCAAGAAAATCTTAGGAAGCCATCCCTAAAAAGATACATTCGACCATTTTGATCATAAAGATCCATTTTAGGTACATATTAGCCATTCATGAGATTTTAAAATCTCAACCCTTGTAGTCAGTATGACTGAGCAACATGAAATTTGGTAGGAATGTCTATCACAAGACCCACAAAATAGTCTTAATAAATAACACCCGAAAAGACACAATTAGTCAGCTAATTATAATTACATTGTTACATAGGTGCCATTTCATTGTAATTTTTGCCAATCACACTAATTCAAAAATGTTCTCAAATTTAGTAACATGAAATTTGGTAGGCATGCTCATCATGAGTAGACCCACAAAAAAGCCTCAAGAAGCCGTGCGTGAAAAGACACTTGAAGTTGGCTATTCACATTTAACGTGCATATTTTAAAGATATTTTTTCTTTTTCATAAATTTGAAAATGTCCCCAATTACAGTTTCAGCAACATGAAATTTGGTAGGCAAGTCTGTCGTACAATCACCAAAAATGTCTCATTCAGTAATGTGTACAAGGTCAGCTCATCATCAAACATAACCCCAAATTACGTTTGAAAAATCCCTTTTGTTTTCAATAGGCACAACTTCAAAAATAGGGTCTATAACCGAACTGGTAAAACAGGTTAAATCCAGATTTGATCCAGATTTAAAAGTTAACATGAACAATCCCGTTTAACATCTCCCAGGAAATCTCCTGCTTATCCTCTTGTAGATCCTGGAGAAATGACGTATCGGGATGAAACGTGACCTCCTTTTGGCGGTTTATATTACTCTTTTTCCACAATTTTAATATCATAGCTCACCACTATCTGAACGGAGGCCTGCGCTCTAATTGAGTTCATAATTCACTCAAATCCCATGTCTAGTTAATCCTATTTAACTCTCTGCGCTTAATTGGTTGCACTCATTTCAAAACTGCACAAATCTGTTGAATTGGTTTTTACGTAGAAACTTCAACATCACGTCCAGCTTTTTACCGTGGTCCTTTCAGTTAAAAAAAAAAAAAAAGTTAGGATCTCAAATTAGGGTTTCAAGAGAGGGTTACAATTTCAAAGAAGGGTTAAGGTTAAAAAAAAAAAGAAAAAAAAAAGAATCGGGGTTTCAACCTCGTTTATAGTTCGAAACAAAGGTTAGGGTTTTAAACTGGGATTGAAAATCAGGCTTCCAAATTCAAATTTCAACCCCTGTGTCAAGGCACCACTTGCAGATTGAAATTGCATTTTTTGCATTTGCGTCACACAGAATCCTCCATTGCAGCTCACCTGTCCATTTCTTTTATAAGGTGGCTTGTACAATGTCTTCCACCGGAAGGGGGTGGGGGGCGTTAAATCTGAGAAGAAGAAGAAGAAGGATGTTTGCTGATTGAGAGCTTTAAAGGCACAATGAAGGCGTAATTGAAAAGGCGGCTGGAGCCCCGGCAGCCTTTTGTCATATCTTTTTAATTAACTTTCCTTTTCTGCCGCGCGATCGCAGCTGGCGATACGGCCAAATGACGACGCTGACACACGCCACAGACGTTTTGTTCATTAAATTGCGCATCTCCAAGCATGCGGGGGCTAATTAAAATTCTGCCGGATGACGAAGAAGAAATGTCCACTCTGCTTTGAACATTGAACATGACCACACACGCACACGCACACACACGAGAGAAGAACAACAAAGCACTCCAAGTAATTCAACCTGAATTACAAAAAAAAGCCTTGAGATACAAACGCGCGCCTCCACCTTGTCTACTTGTTCATCTTCTGATTCTTTTGTGCGAAAAGATGAAGTTACAAGTCACCATACCGGTATTTGGCCTTTTGTTTCATTCCGACGACACAAACGTGTTTCATGTGATGTCTTGTTTTCTTGTGATTTGTTCCATGTCTGTCTCGTTAAGGTTTTGTGTCCACCTGTTCTCGTCAGGTCTCACAGCCACTCACGTGTTGTCCAGGTGTTCCTCGTTGTCAATTTGTATTTATGCTGCATTCGAGGAAGGTGGGAAGTTGGACTTTTTCGACTTCCGACTAATAGTAACTGCGCACTCGAATGCACATTTGAACTGGAAGGGCTGTGTTGCAAAGTTGGTTTAAAAAAAAAAAAAAAAGTACACCGAGTTCATAGCAAAACATCATTTACAAGATTCTAAACATATATTTAGCGTTCTTTATTTATTATATTATTTGGGTTATTCAAAATCACGTAACAACGTCATTTGTAATGGCGGCCTTAGTATGATCTACTTTTGGGACTCAAGTTAATTATTATTATTATTTTGTGGGGGATAAAACATTTTTACACATCAATTAATTTGTCAAATTGCAATTTGAAACATGAATTCAGGTTTCAAATTCAGGCCGGGATTAGGATTTCAGATGTGGATTTCAATTCTTGGGGCAGGGTTTCAAAGCAGCGTTGTAAATTCAAGTTAGGCATTCGAATGACAGTACAAGCAAGCGTTAAGGCCTTAAAGTATAGTTTAAAACAACTGTTAGGGTTTCAAAGTAGGTTTATAGTATCAAACTGTGGTTTCAAGTTTGGGGTAGGGTTTCAAACAAAGGTTGGGTTAGAGTTTGAAGTAAAGGGTTCAAACAAAGGTTTTGGTTTCAAATGAGGGCTTCCGGCCTTTCAAAGTAGGGTTTTAAGATGAGTGTTTTCAAATTGTACTAAATTGTAATTAAGGTTTCAAATTTAAGTACAGGGTTCAGGTTTCAAATTGCAAAGGCAGTTTTCCAATGTGAAGTATTTCCTCGTGGCTAACGCTAATAGAAACCCATGAACTCTGCGTAGCAACCGATGACATTGGCTGCTTGATCATATTTTAGTTCATTGATCTTAATCAGACACCAGATGCCAAGTTGAGAATCTTTCAAGCTAAGTGCTCAGCGACTGGTCCTTTTGTCCTGGTCTGAAAAGGAGAGCGGCGCTGGTGGAAATAGGGCCAAGGCTGGTCAGAAAAAAAAAAATGGAAAGAGAAACTGAAAATGTGCTTGGAGGTTTTTTTTGTGCAGTGAGCAAGATTACGGCGTCTATGAGTTCTGAAGGTTTTTTTTTTGTTTTTCTTTTTTTTTGAGCGTACCCTTTTCGGCAGACAAGAGTACAATCAGATCAGGAGGAAGTTTGTCTTTTTTTCACGCTGGAGGGCTCTTCAGCCTCTCGGCGCCATCACAGAGTCTCTAGCTGCATGCGGGAAGCGGTAGAAAACCAGTTTGGATCTATGAATGCGGACTGAAGACTAAGTGTGATTCGTTTGATTTAAGGTTTTAGGGTTTGTCATCAGGGTTCTAAAATAAAAATACTGGTTAAAAATAGCCCTTTGATTAACTCATAGTAAAATTTTAGATTTTTTTTCTTCAGAATTGAATCGAAGAACTCCTCATGAAGAGTTCATTCACAAAATTAAGACCTGTCACACAGCGGCCTGTCACAGAGAGTCTGATCACGGAGCGATAGCCCGATTCATGTTGGCCTGCAGACGTCAGCGGCTATGCTAGGCAGATAGCGCGGGCAGTGCTTTGTTTACGAAATGAAGTACGCCTAATTTTCCCAGTACTCTGCGGGACGCAATGGACAGCCTTGCAGCAGGTCTCAGCTCAACTTGAGTGCAGTCCGTACTGCCATTAGAAGCCCGCCTGCTAATTAACGCGGCGCTAACAGCGTCAGGAACAGGCAGCGGTGGTCAACAACCCCTCAGTGTTCAGTCATTCAGGCAGAACATACTTATTTCCCTTCAAACAAAGTACTGATGTGGAGCATTGTTATCAGTGTCAGCCTGAAAATATCTATTTAGTGCAATTGAAAATTTCAGGTTTTGTAGCTTCAACAGCAGTCATTTTTGCTTGGGGTGTGGGGGGGGGACCAACTCATTACATTTACAGGAAACATAAAACACTTTTGGCTCCTATTTTTCATTATCACTCGCCCCCAAAACCCGCTACCTTTTTTACATCCGCCTTCTTTGCATTGTCAAGCAGGATGGAATCAGTCGACTTGGATGACCACTAGATGTCGTGGATAACCAAATGATCCAATGAGACGTACGCAGATAGGACATTTTTTGTTATTAGGGTTACTCTTATACACGGTCAACAATTTATGTGATGCGTTTAGGTTAAATCAGGGGTGTTCCACTCATTTTAGTGGCTGGCCAATTTGGAATTACATCTTCCCTCGGAGGGCCGCTATGACAGTGAAACCACAAAATTATTACGTACACAACAAATTGATAGATGACTAGTTTTGAAATCAGTCACGTTAATTACAACTGTTTTTTTCAATTATTGTTCAAGTGAGTGTAAACTGGGTAACAAAATTATTGCAAAATCGTTATTTATTACACGTGACAATTTGACATTTCCGTACAGATTTTAGCAAGTTGACACACATGATTTGCTTTTGCAGGCCACACAAAATGACCTGGCGGGCCGGATCTGGCCCCCGGGCCTTGTGTTTGACACCCGTGGGTTAAAAGTATTGCGCTGTGTTAGAGCTGCGGCTGTTCTGGAAGCGCAATATAAATTAAGATTTCGATCGTACTGTATTCATATATGTAACTGCTGCCATTCTTGAACAGCAATCCAAACAATACGGGAATATTCCCTTATAAAACAGCGCTGAACGTAAACGTATTTTTCTATAGTGACCTTAACTCTCACGTGCGAGTTCACCTTTGACCATTCTACCAGATATTGCTTTTATTATACACTATATTCCTTCAACCATGACACCTGTATCCCAGGATACGAGCAATATTGGACACATGGAAGTAAATCCTATCAGATAACTGAATGATTACACACCTGTTTCATAATCACCGGTATTCTCAGACCACCGGAACAATTTTGTATGACTGCACAACAGTTTTATCGGGCACCTGCATTGTCAAAACGCATGTATCCCTTGATACCTGTGTAACTGCATAACTGTATCTCTGGACACGTATGCCAGTGTAAACCAAAATCATTACAAATGGAACATACTGTGCTCATCAATGACAGGGCAGGGGTAGCTTGTGTCCTGTAGCTGCTAAAGTGTCGCCGTGGAACTTTTTACCTTTCATGGTGGTTCAGGGTCGACAGCTTAAAGTGCACTTTGGCTCGCAGGTGGAGGGAAAAAAAAGATGTTATTGACACAAATTGCTGGTGAGTCTGCAACGTGTTCTTGAAATCTTTCATTTGAATGCAGCTGAACATCAGCGGCGGCTTTTGTGTCCGCGCCAACCTCGCACTGAACTTTAATAATGACTCATTGAAGGGAATTCAGTCGGCTTGTGTTTGCCGTGAAAAGAGGAGCCACTTCATCTTCTAATTATTCATACATACACACACGCGTACGTACCCATGCACACACACTCGAGTGACGAGGCCTTTCACTGCTACTGCATTCACACAGTCGGTATTCAAAGAGATTCAAAACATGAGCAAAGAGCAAAGAAACTCCCCTGAACTTTCTGATGTGATTCAGATATAATAATAATAATAATAATAATAATCACAACAATTAATGCTGCATCTAATAACAAATGGGCCCTTACGCCTACATTTTCATTGCCAATCCTTGGAGTATTGGTCTAACTTTCACATCATGATCAATCCTTTAGATGGTGTAGACAAAAAAAAAAAAATTTCAAAATTTAGCCTAACTGAGATTAATACATCTACTTCCTGTTGGAACTCATTTGGACGAATCCCCTTGTGGCACTTTTGGGTTTGACCCCCCCAAATGACTGCTTCCAATCTAAATGACAACTTCCTGTTCAATTTCGTGCATGAGTTCTTGATAGTTTTCATGCAGTAGTCGTGTTGATCTGGAGAAGCTGCTGCAGTGGGACATTCTGAAAATCTTCAAAATGTTCTGAAAGGTTGACACCATGCTCCACTCATATTAGATGGCTGAGGCAAAAAATCTTAACTGTATTTTGGACGATCTGTCGAGGTTACTTGCTTAAAATTGGGCTTCATTTCAAAATTCCCGAATCAGAGTGTGTCAAAGTTTGATCTCCGGATTTGCTCAAAATGGCAGTTTTATTTTTAAAAAATGGCCTCCTCCCAGTTCATCTTTGAGACACGTTTTTGGTAGATTTTCCCATTTGCAAAATTGGCAGCTTCAAACCAAAACAGATAACTTCCAATTCAATTTCCTGCATGAGTCCTTTGGACTTTTTCATGCATCATCTACACCCAACTTCATGCCCATCAGTGACACTGATGTCAGTGCTAATATTTTATGTAACTTTCTGAGGTGCCTTAAAGTGACTCTTAAGAATGACGGCATTCTAAGGGGTAAGCAAAATTGTGAATTTTTTTTTTTTAGATAGAAAATAGGAGAACCAAGGCGCAACCAATTTGA